TGAAATATAATATTTTTATTTTATTCTTCACAGTTAAAAAGTTACCTATCTTTAGGTTTATAATTTAGCAAAACATTTTTTTTTCTCCCACCAATGATACTGATACTCTTGGAAAAGTTAGTCGCTCATTAAAATATTTTCTGCTATTTAACAAGCATGGGTGATTTCAAATTCTTATTTTCTTGCTTAATCCTGTCTCTGTAACATGCAAATCAAGCAATTTTTAATAGTTTAGGTTGCCAATTGTCACTTTTGATGGATAATCCGATTAGGTTGTTCACCATGTGCTACTGATACCCTAAGAAAGAATTTTTGAGACTATTCATTATCTCCAACAATGCTTAAAAGTGTCACTTGACAATACTTCCCCAGAAGATAAGCAGCAAATTTCTTTTAAGTGACAAATTCTTTATTATCTATTGAAAAGTTATTATTAACAAATTTTCAAGGAATGAAAATACAATTCAAAAATATTCTATTAGACGTTCTGACATTTCTATTGAATGTCCTCTTTATTCTCTAAGAAATGTTATCACTTTCTGAGAACACCGATGGTACCAGTTTGAATACCCTTCAGAATTGAATATTTTCAAAAAAGCAGATTTTCAAGATCCCATTAGATGAAGGCATCCGGTGAAATCTTAAGAGGATGCCACACCCCACGGGAGAATCTTTTCATTTCAAATTATCTTTCACCTTCAGTACTTACTTAAAATTTAAAAGAACGAAAAAGTAAGTTCAGACAAACCTAGAGTAAGTCGTGAAGTTTCAATAGCTGAAAAAAATATATCAAAATATTAAAATGTAAACAAAATATTAGACGTGAGCTTCTCCGTTGCGTAATCTTTAGTTATCATCTCATAATTTATTTTCATTTGCATATTTTAAAATTTTCTTTTCAGTATTTGAAACTTCATGGTTTACTCTAGGTTTGTCTGAACTCACTTTTTTTACATTTTAAATTAGTAATGAAGTAGAAATAGAATTTGCGACGAAAATTTTCTTCTGAGATATGGCGTTCTCTTAAGAGGATGCCACATCGAAGGACAATCTTTTCGTTTCAAATTCCATTTCACCACCATTACTTATTTCAAGTGCAGAAAAAGTGAGTTCAGGCGAACCTAGAGTAAACCATGAAGTTTCTATTGCTAAAAATTTTTTTAAAAGAATATTAAAATGCAAACAAATTCTTGAAAGAGAACTTCTCCATTGCGTGGTCCTAAAATATCCTCATGATTTTCATTTTGATATCTTAAAAATTTCTTTTCAGTACTTGAAACTTCACGGCTTTATCTAGGTTTGTCTGAACTCACTTTTTCTATCGCTTTAATTTTAAATTAGTTATGAAGGTGAAAGAGAATTTAAGACGAAAAGTACTTGCAACTTCATGGCTGAACTCACTTTTTCTATTGCTTTAATTTTAAATTAGTTATGAACGTGAAAGAGAATTTAAGACGAAAAGTACTTGTAACTTAAGTTCTCTCTTGGAAATAACATAGGATATCGTGAATTTGATTATTGGCAAGCAGTCTTTTTTGTTTTCTGGGTTAGGTTTAAAATTAGAATGTTACAAACTTGAACATTGACTTGGTCGCTAATCCAATATAGATATACCGTTTACTGCGTTATTGATTTTTATAAGAATGCTTGAAGGAATATTACGATATTTATAAAAAAAAAATTTAAACTGATAATGTGTACAAATTTTATGTGCTTCCTCGAGTTCACGAATGAGGAGCATGCTGATATTACATGCTAATTTCATCATACACAATGATCAAGCTTCAAAAGTTGAGCTATAAGTTTTATACCGATGTGAGAATGTTCGATTTCATTCTATTTTTTGCTTCAGGAAAATGTTTTAATACGTTTCATTGTTTTTTTCTCTCTCTTTTTTTTTTTTTTTTTTTTTTTTTTTTTTTTTTTTTTTTTTTTTTNTTTTTTTTTTTTTTTTTTTGCTAACAGAATTTATAAGATTATAGCCGAAACTTATATTTTATGGACTCTGTACATATTATTATGAAATATTATTGTGAAGTTAATGACTTCTTAAATGTTCTTAATTTGCAATACAGTTGACGCTCGTGAAATCGCTCGTTTGCATTTGCTTTATCTGCCTTCGAATTTTTTTTAAGTATTTTAAAAAGATGGTAATATAAGTGCAAAAACACTGCGAATATTTACCCACAACAAAATTTTTGGCTAGTTTCGACAGCACTATGCTACATACTCTTGGAAATTTGAAAAGTAACATAATTGATTTATAATTCAACTTATTAATATATACGTAAAATATTCAAATCAAAATTAGGAAAAATATTTAAATGCTTCTTTGTATCACAGAAAGAAATAAAAATAAGGAAAATACAATTAGTATAAACAACCTGCTCCCCACCCCATATTCCCGAGAAGTTCCCGAGCATGAAAAGAGCAGAGGGACAGGTCTGCGCGCGCGAGGCATTCCCGCAAATAAACTTAACCTGCAAAATAGTAGGCAAGGCTGTCACAAAATTCTAGCCTATTCCTAAATACAAATTTGTTCAAAAATACTAACCTGTTTCACCTGTTCTAAAATACTAGCCTGTGACAAAATACCATCTGTTCCGAAATACTGAGCTGTGACAAAATAACAGGCTGTTCCAAAATACTAGCCTGTGATAAAATAACAGGCTGTTCCGATATAACATGTTTAAAATATTAGGTGATTGTTTTATTTGTAATAGGTTGTTAAGACATACAAGTAGAGCCACAAGAGGGGGAAGGGGCTAGCATCAATAATTTTCAAAAATTTTAAACATTTTAATGTTTTTTTTTACTCTAGAAAGGCTATTTTTTATTAAGAAATTTAAGATACTTTATATGCATTTTAACTTTATAATTGCATAATTATCATTTTCATAGGACTGAAATTTTAAAAAACGCATTTTAAGGAACGGAAATTTAAGTACTATTATTAATTTATAATTGGAATTAGTTATTAAATTTAAGTTTATGGAACAACATTTGTTTTTATTACAATTAAATTTAATAAGTTCTATTACCGCTCTTTTATTTTTAAAACTATGAAAACACAGAAAGTGAGACTTACCATAATTTCACGTACGTTACCAAACTTATCATATCCCACTCACGCGAGAAGTTTTTAGTTCTTGCTGATACGAGTAAACAGTTTTTTAAAATTCATGAATTGCTTTTAAGTTTAAAAGCATCATATTTTCACCAACAGGGAGAAGAAAAAACAATTTTGACAAAATTTGGTCTAATGATCGGATTTTCGCGTTTTAAGTGCCATCCTTAATAAATCGAATTCTTCGATCAAACCGATCGTTTTTTCGATGAATTTGGATTATTTGTTTTTATTTTTCCTATTAATTTATTTAGGCTTGATAATTTTGCTTTTTACGTATTTCATGCTATCTCGAAATTTTTTTAAGCGAATTAAGAAAGTTTTCATTTATTATTATAAGATTTGTTTAGCTAAAGGAAATGCAATGTAATATTATTTTTTATAATTTGTTACTAATTTATACTAATTTGTTTAATAATGATCAAAACAATTTCGAATACCAGGACAGATAAACTCATGCATCATTTTAAACTATGTAATTTTAAATGACACAATGCAAAATTCGAATGAATTTCTGTCGAATGAATCACAAACATTTTTAGGAAATAAGCTAGATAAAAACATTTGATTTTAGCAAAGTAGCTCGTTAAATTATTATTATTGATTGAATTATTAAAACAGCTCTAAAAAATTATGATAATGGAATAAAAACTTTATTTTGTCCATTTTTAGGAAATAAATTGAAAAAAAAACACATCTATTAGAATTATTTAAATAAAAATCTCACTAGTTTCAGAGCTATCTATTTTCTTAGAGATTTTGCGGAAATAGAAAACTTGTAGGGCCTCTCGCAATGTCTGGCGACGGCCCTGTGTCAATCAAGTAAATAAAACCTGATCTTTTCTTATTTTAATCGGTACAAAGATGGCTAAAAACAATTTAAACATTATAAAAAAAGGTAGAAAAATAAATTTTTTGAAGATAATTGAATTACAATTTCTGCCTAGTATTTTAGAGCAGGACTTTGGAAGTAACCTGTTATTTTAATAACAGGTATGAATAAATAATAGGTACAAAGTACCTAATACTGGGTACAAAATATTAGCCATCTCTGCCGCATTCTAACGTATCATCAGAAAAAGAATAATAATACTAACAAATGCTTAAAACGACCGCTTTCTTGCCTAAACTGTTGGGATCATACTTTCCAGATTGTGGCTAACCCCCCCTCCCCAAATCAAAATTTGTTAATGCCTGATTCTGTATAATATTTAATAGTTAATACCCGCTAATTATCATAATTAAGATTAACCTTCGGAATTATTAATATATATTCACTTATGTAATACTAGTGTAAATAATTAAGAGAATTTGCAGACTTGATCGATTATCTCTAGAACTACTGGACCGATTTTAATGAAGTTTGATATGTACATACATTGATACAATACAAAACAAATAACCATTCAATAATTGTAATACGCACGCATGATCGTGCGTAACACTCGTTTGAGTCGGAAGGTATGAAATTATTACAGAACAATTCAGGACAATTGAAACACGAAATGATAAACCTTATGCCTTATTTCAAGAATGCGCTATTATGTGTTATGAATGCCTTATTATGAATTATGAATGTCTTATTTCAAGTATAAAATCACGCTGCAAGGCCTGCATATCAGTAAGAGAGGACCATATCCCTTATTAACCCTTTTATTATTTCTTAGTTTATTCTGCAACCGCTGCTCATACCTTCCAACTCCAACGAGTATTACACATGATCACACGTAGTATTTTAGAACAGGCCTTTGGAAGTAACCCGTTATTTTTTATAACAGGTATGATTAAATAATAGGTACAAAATACCTAATACGTAATAGGTACAAAATATTAGCCATCTCTACCGCATTCTAACTTCTAGCGTATCATCGTGCATGTAATACGTCGACGTATATGCTTCTATCTGCTTAGTTCTGCTTCTTCTGATAGTAATTAAAAAATTTGTAAAATGGCTGAAAGCTCAAGAATAAATGCTGGAAATGCGGTGTGCCCTTTTTATTACTATTCTTCTTGTCGAGATGGAATAAATTGTAAATATATACATGATGCCACGTGTGATAATATCGGAAATATTGCCTGTGAATACTTTTTGAAAGGCATCTGTAAATATGGCGATGAATGCTTGTTTAATCATACAATAATTACAGAGGGTGTTACAGCAAAAGATGAGCAGACTTCTAAACCATCAGCTAAACTGGATATGGAATTGTGTCCGCATTTCTTTGACGGTGTGTGTCCATACGACGAATGTCCATGCTTTCATGGAGAGATATGTGAACTGTGTCGCAAGTATTGTTTGAATCCTTTTGATGAGAAGCAACGAAGTTTTCATATTGAAATCTGTGGACAGGAGCAAAGCAAAAATCTTCCTGATTTTGATAAAAAATGTGGTATATGTTTAGATGTTGTAATGGAAAAAAATCCAGTTGCAGAGCGTCGCTTTGGTATTCTTGAGAATTGCAACCACGTGTTTTGCTTATCCTGCATCATAAAATGGAGAAAAGTGGGAATTTCTCGTCATGAAGAAGATTCAATAGATCCTGCTGTTACTCGTGCTTGTCCCGAATGTAGAGTGCCGTCTAGTTTTTACATACCCAGTAAGAATTGGGTGCATTCAAAAGGAGAGAAAAAGATATTAATAGCTGATTATAAGAAATCTCTGCTGACGAAACATTGTAAATATTTCAAAAATGGTAAAGGGATTTGTCCCTTTGGTGTTGAGTGTTTTCATCTTCACGCAATGCCTGTTGTTCCATCAGTAACTGCTCAGAGACATCACTTTATTAATAGAGTGTCATGGAACTCAAGCATATGGTAAAATTTTTTGATTCTGTAATGTGAAATCTAGATGATTAAATAAATGTGGTAAAATAATACTTCAAAGATATTTTGAAAATATTTCAAAAGTGATAGAGGTTGGCGTGTCCCTTTATGGCAACATGCTTCTATCTTCATGCACTACCAGATGGTGTGAAAGTAAATTACAACATATTTAATTATTAAGTGTTTAATACATACTCTCGCTTAAATATTTTGAAATTAACGTTTTAATGAGTACAGAGTTTAACACGAAGAAAAGCAAAAACGCATAATAACCTGTGTTTTAAACATTATCTAGCTTAATTATTTTGAAATTAATGTTCTAATGAGTGCAATTTTTAACGCATATTGTTCTGTGTTTAACATAAACACTCGCTTAAGTATTTTTAAAGTAAAGTTTTAATGGGTACAGTTTTTAACATGAAAAAAATGTATATAAAGTAGTGTTTTTATACATCCCATCTAATCCAAAACAATATTCTCACGTAAATATTTTGAAATTAACGTTCTAATGAGTGCAATAAGTCTTTTTCTTAGTACAATTTATTATTTAGGAGAAGCGTTATTAGAAATTTTGAAAAGCGGGCAGTTAGAGATAATTTTTAGCAGTTAAAATTTACATTTAATATAAAAACACGATGTTAAGAGCAAATAAAAACAGGGTTACGAAAAAGCCAGTCTTTTCTGAAAAAATATTTTATTCAGTAAAATAATGTAAGTAAAATATATTATTATATTAGTCTTGCATTCTCTTAAGGAAATTTATTCCATAAATAGATAAAATTATTAATTTGAATTAGCTAAAACTATTAATTTTGTTATTAATTTGAATGATATGTTATTGTTGTTTCATATCTGCTTCAAAACCAGACAATTTTTCTCTGGAATTGTTCTAAGCCTATTTCAATCATGTTCTCATTCATCCAAATTGTGGTTTATAATTCGGAACAATTATTTTTAACATATGTAGCTCTAAATTTTCGATAAATTAGGTACTGTACATGATTTGATCGAAATAATCATAATATTTTTTATGAAAAGTAGAACAAATAGTAATAACAGTTAATTTTGTATCATTTACGTGCCTATGCTGTGTTAAATAAGTTGATTTCTAATTGCTGTTCTAAGTAGTTTAAAATGGTTGTTCTTGAAGCTTCCAAGGTTAAACCTGTTGCTTCAAATAGTTTTGAAAGGGCTAAGTTGCTACTGCAAATTGTTTCTAACATACAATCTCATCAATGTAGTAATTAACTAACAATTTTTATAACCATTTTATATTATTACAGTTCTTAAATTTTATTAGTTCTAATAAAAACCGGCTTTTTTTAATTTTAACCGGTCTTTTTTTATGTGGTTTATACCAAAAATATCCTTGTTTTTTTTAGAGTGGTTAAAATCCGGTAACCCCTCTATAAACATAGGTAAAGACTAATATTGTAATATGTTATAAATAGTATTATACATAGTATACATAAATATTGCAAATAAAGTCAGTCAAAAACCATACCCCGATGGAAAAACTCTTAAGGGTAAAATTAAAATTATTATTATTGGTATACTATTGGTTATAAAGAAAATATTCTTAACTTTTTAAAAAAGAAAATAACATTTAAGTAATAGCTAATAACTGTAATTTTATTTTTTCAGAATGATAACACTTAAGTAGAGGAACATTAAAGCCGAATATTTAAATAAATAGTATAACTCATTAGGTAGAAATTACTTCTAGAATGGAAATATTTCAGTAATTGTTGCCTTTTCCAATTGACATTTCCCATGTAATTTGTAACTTCCTCTACCTAGTGGTCTAATTCTTATCTTAACTTTTTATAACGTGTTCCAGCAATCTCGCCACAAAACTTCTCCCCCTCTTCAGTGGGGCCAGCCACTAATTCATACTGAAAAGGTCAGCCACACCTGTTCAGTATACAGAATATATTCGATCCGAATATATTTAACAATGCAAAGAAAGAACAGACTCATGCTTTTAAATGATTGTGGCTATCAATCAATTCTATTCTCTTTTTATCTAGATGTATTCTGATCTTGTTGTGACAGAGTGTAAATGAATTTGAAATACTCCCCCCCCCCTTCAAAAAATGAGATCATACTGTAACATTTTACTATCTTTCTAAGGAAAGTAAATGAAATCTTAGAACTTGGATTTGACTATCTCTATTTATGATGTGGTTTCAATTGTCGTGTACCACTAACTTATTTGTAATTTTTGTAGGTTATTCAGAAATTAAAAAAAAAAATTTATTTAATGATTGTATAAAATCAGTAAGGATACGTTGTTAATTGCGGAATCGATGAAATAGCTTTTACAATAATAAATGCATTTGCAATGTCTAGCATTTACTTAAGACTGGGTAGCTAAACAAAACACTATCGTTTGGCAATTATCGTTGGGATGTTACCGTAACATGAAAAGTATTGCAACAAAATTAAAGAATATTGCCTTTTCACTGTGCAGATTTGCAACGAAGTAAAATAGCTTGCTACAAAATAACATAATAAAGAAAATATAAAATTAACACGTGTTTAATGGATTTCATGAGTCAAATGATTAATATAGAGCAACATCAATTACTTAGCTATCTAAGATAATATATTTTAATAAATTAAGAGCATTAAAGCAGTGTTTCCTAAACTTATGACTTTTGCGTACCCTTTCTAAATTTTTCGTAACGCTGTGTATCACTAATAAAAAAATGAATGTATTTTTTACTATAAAAAAATTGCACAAAATTTAAAAATCGCAACTGACTGTTGACACCACTAATCATTAACTGTAAACTCTGCTAAAAATAGTCAATAGAAAAATACGTAATCGTAAATTTTCATGGCTAGCTTTGTTTTTAAATATTTTTTTTTTTTTGAAATTTTCGTTTGTTGCAAGATATTTTGCATAAGAACTCGCACCCAGCAAATCTGTTGTACCCCTGGGGGTACGCGTACTGCACCTTGGGAAACACTGCCTTAGAGAGTATTACCTATTTTTATCTGTTTCGTAAAAAGAAAGGGGGAAAAAATCATAATAATAATAATTTTTAATGAAAACCAAAATATACAATATTTAAGCCATTCATTTCCTTTCGTATGGTAATAGTTCACCGGCTATTCTAGTTTTTAAAATTATAGTTCTTGCCGCTTGCCCCACGCTTAGTAAAAAATAGAAAAAACTGAAGTAAGTTTAATGGAGTAGATGGTTTATAAGCTATGCTCTAAGGCAGCGGTTCTTAACCTATGGGTCGCAACCCAAAATTGGGTCGCGAAGCATTTTTCTTGGGTCGCGCTGAGTCGATTACTAATTGATAATAACTTGATAATTAGTTAAATTTTCCTTGGATCGAAAAGTACTTTTGTTTATTATTATTATTAAAAAAATAAATAAAAAATTTGTAAGTTAAAAAAAATCATGATCGTAGGATTGAAGATTTTTTAAAAATACGATCTAAAATAAAGCAATGAAAAAATTGTGACTTTTTTTTGGGTCGCGACATGAACATATTTCTCAAATTTGGGACGCAGCTTAAAAAGGTTAAGAACCACTGCTCTAAGGCAGCGTTCCCCAACCTTTTTATCACCACGGACCTGTCAACGTTTGATAATTTTACCTCGGACCACTGGGGGGGGAGCGTTGATTTTTTATATTTATGAACAGTCNAATTGTATTTGAACATGCGTCAAAATAAAATACAGTTACACCAAAAAATAAATATAAAGTGGTTTAACACTTACTTACTAAAACGTTAAATCAATGAGAACCCTGAGCTTGTTTCTTTGCAATGAGACGGTTCCATCTGGAGGTAATCGGAGACAATGATACATTAGAAACTCTAAAAAGTTTATGTTACCACCTACGGGGGCCCCTTTTTTTTAAATAAATAAAATTTTAATGGAACACGTATATTTTTAATTTGGGGTATAAATCTAGGAATTTAAAATCAGTTTCAATGAAATGGGCTGCCCGGTACCAATTTATCCATGGACCGGGGGTTGAGGAACACTGCTCTAAGGTATCATGAAAAAATAACCAAATTTTATCCCGTATTATAAAACCATATCACCGAGTTTTTTAGTGTTATACACGGTAAATTTTACCATTTTCTAGTTGCGGGTATTCTAGAAAACGAAAATTTCCTGAACGCCCTAAATATTGAAAATGTTTTCGAATAAACTAATTCTCTCACGGATAGAAGTACAGTGAGTTTTATCTGGACTGAACATTAAAGTTTTTTGCTTGTCGAAAATTTTAACAAAGAATAAAATTATTTGATCACCTCTTAAAAGCACATGTCATGATAATAAATAACGTTTTAATCCACTACTTTTAGAATTATAATACTAAAAATTTTTCAACTTCGAACTCCACGCTGTTTTTTACCAAATAAATAAATAAATAAAAAAGATAATAAAAAAATATAATTAAAAAAATAAATAAAGTAAGATAAGAAAAATAAAAATATAATTTTTTTTTTAAATAAAGAAGGAAAGTTTTCAACATTTGATACTTCGTACAGCAATATACTTAACCAGTGGTTTCCATGAAAATGCAATTAAATATTCATTTTAAATAAGAAATGATTTTTAGGAGTATTTCATCTCTAATTTTTGTTTATAAATAAATTTCAATATTAAATATTTTTAGTTTTTATACATTTCATACAGGAAAAATAGTAAATTAATTTCAGTATTTGCACATTTTTGCTCTGATATGAAATTATGAAAATATAAAATTTTTTTTTACTAAATATGTGTGAGTGTTTTTTTTCTCTCTGTATTACGTTTTGGACAGGAAAATTAATACAGAAAAAGTAAAATTTTTATTTTTTCGAATTTTGAAAATGATTTTTTTTTATTTAACGTTTTTTTTTAAAACATATTTTAAACAAATGTTTTAAACCAAGCGTTTGGAACCCAAGTTTTGGTTAATCAATACTTTATCACAACAATAATGTGAATTGTCTCCTTTCCTTGGCAGGGCTACTTTGT